TCTATTTTCTACCTATAATATTATAAAATCGATCCCAAATCCTTCTTGGCTTCAATTCAAAATCCCCAAACCAAACCCAAAACCCTAATCCCTATTTCCTTCAAACGAATGAGAACACTTAATACTCCAAGTATCGACATATTTATACAACCTATAATATCATTTTATACCTATAATATTTAATAAATGTATCGATATTTATATTTGACCTATAATATCACTTTCTACCTGTAATCGGTCACAAATGCTTCTTTACTCCAAAACCCCAAACAACATATAAAAACCCTATTTTCGATTACTATAATAATTAAAAAACTAGGGTTTCGACAACATACTTTTTTATTCGACTGCAGCAACAAACAAACAAACTTCGCTTTAGAAATGCCTTCTGAAATGCAGCAACAATTATGCTTCGATTTCAAAAACTCGTTCGTTTTATATATTTTTCAAAGGATATTTAACTATGCCATTTATATTTTCACCGGATATGTTATTTATATTTAATCGATACAACTACAAAAGTGTCGATACTTTTATGTCATGTGTCGATACTTTCGATAGTATAATTTCTATTTCTTTGAAAGTATCGATAATTTATTACGCGTACTTATTAAAGTATCGACACTTTCAATATGTCCGGTAGCGCTTTACCAGTTTTGTCATTTAGAGACCGATTTTGTCATATTTTTTTATGTTATATTGTTATGGATCGATACATTTTTATAAAGTATCGACACTTCATAGGCGCTAAAATTGCTTCTCTTTTAAATTCACAAAGTGTCGATACTTATATTAAAGTATCGACACTTTCAATATATCTGGTCGCTCTATACCGGGTTTGTCCTTTAGAGACCGGTTTTGTCATATTTTTACCTGTTATATCGTTGTAGATCGATACATATTTATAAAGTATTGACACTGCGCTAAAACTGTTTCTCTTTTAAATTCACAATGTGTCGATGCTTATATTAAAGTATCGACACTTTCAATATATCCGGTAGCGCTTTACCGGTTTTGTCTTTTCGTGACCGGTTTTGTCATATTTTTCCTATTATTGTGGATCGATACATTTTTATAAAGTATCGACATAAACCGACAAGCTAAGTTTGTCGGTTTCCAAATTTTTTAATATTTCTTCATGATTTAGACCTACTACATTATTATTACTCAACATTTCCGGTAGCGCTAAACTGAATTTGTTAAATATCTTTAATGTATCCGGTAACGCCGTATATTAGCCCGCCTTTCCTAAGACATCCCCAAGTTGTTTTACTCATTTTCTTTCTTCACATTCTCTCCACAAAATTATCCCACTGTTCTCTTTTTCTTTTATCGGTGGTAGTGTTTTCATTATTCTTTCACCGGCGGTGATAGTGAACTAACAAGGTACTTTTATCTTTCATCTATTCTGTTGAATCATGTTTTATAATGTTTTGATATAACAAATTTAAGACAAAATGTTTTTTTGGACTTGATTGAATTTGTTCAAAGTTTTCAAATATTTTCAAAGTCCATTAAACTAGAATTTGAGCACAAAATTGATTTTCAGGGTTCGTAGTACCGATACTATTCTTACAATATTGATATTATATGATCAATATCAATATTGTTCATATGGTACTGATACCAAAGGTAAGAGAAATATCGATACTCTCTAGGTAGTACCGATACTACATATTATTTTTCAAATAGCTCAAATTCCAGAATGCAAAATAGGTACCGATACTCAAGGGGGTACCGATACTCAAGGGGGTACGATACTACTTTACACATTAGTAACGATACTATGAGCATATTATCGATACTGGTCAAGCCCAACAATCTTTAACGGCTAGTTTATTTAAAAATTATAAAGGTAGTACTAATACTCATTAAAGGAGTATTGATACTCCCTGTCATGGGCAATTTTATTTTGTAGAAAATTAATCTTCAACGGCTCCAAATCATCCCCAACGGCTAGAAACGGCCACAAACACATTCCAACATATAAAAACAAGTTGATGACACTTGAAGAAAGGTTAGAACACCTATCCAAACAATCAAACACAAGATAAGAGTTTTTCATTTCTATTTTCCTTTCTCTTGTAAATATTTTTGTTTTTGAGCTTATTGCAAATCTTTTTACTTGTTTTCGTATGAGCTTAATTTTGTAAACACCCTACCTTAGAGAGGTTTTCTTGTTTACATTTCTTTTTTTGTGAAAAGGGAATTGGTTCTAGCTAAGCCTGTTAAAAGCTATAGAGTTGTAAAGGTTATCTCTTGATCCTGTAAAAAGAAAGAACAAATTAGTGAATTTGTTAGAAAATCCTTAGTGAAGAGCTAAGGTGGTGGATGTAGACTTGGTTAAGAAGTCGAATCACTATAAATCCTTATGCTAATTGTCTATCTTTTTAGTCTCCTTACTCCCTAAACTCAAAAACCAATTCAACTCCTCTTGGCAAATTATTCGGCTGTTCAATTGAGCTTCACCGTAAATCTCAACATATTCCTATTTTCATTCCATGGGTACCAATATTTTGCACCTCCATTGTTTTATTTTTGAAATCTTAGGGTCTGTTTGTTTCACTGTAATTGGTTTTCTGAAAATGAATTATGAAAAAGAATTCTAGAAAATGAATTTTGGTGTTTGGATGAATATGCGTAATTCATTTATCGTTGTTTGGTAACCTTTACTAAAAATGTTTTTTTAAAATGTGTTTTTAATAAAATAAACACACATTGTTATTTTTAATCTTTTATTTTTTATGAAATTAATTTTATTATAATAAAATTACTTTTAAAAAAGTTTTGTGTATATATTATAATATTTTATTTTTTAAGTACATCAAATTAAAATTTGATATCACTTATTCTTTTATATAAATGTGGATAATACGAATAACTTTTGTCGATTTTAATATAAATAAATTATTTTAGGATTTAACAACATTTTTAACATTATCTTTATATTTAACTTTTAAATATTTTTTTATATTTAGGTTCAATTGGTATAATCTTAAAATTTTATTAAAAAGTTGTTTCTTTCGTTCCTACATCGAAAAAGAATAAACGTGGATATTAATCAGTACTATATAATATTAAATAATGATATTCCAATTGTATAATTAGTACTACATTATATTAAACAATGTCATTCATATACTTTATTTTTTGCTAAGGAAACTAGCATTTCCAATGAACAATCATCAGTTCATAACTTACAAATAGACTAGTGAAGCAAAGAATTCAAAGATATATAGCCTGTCTTGGTTCAACTTGTTTTTGGGGTTATACTTGCAAGTTACAACTGTTGATGTTGATGTTGATGTTGATGTTGATGTTGATGTTGATGTTGGGGCCGTGCTCATTACCCTTGCTTCTCAATTGTGTTTCATGTCTCCTTCACATGCTATTAGGGTGCGTTTGGTTCACGGAATATAAGATTATCAATGGGAATGTAAGATTATCAGGGATTAGCAGTAATGTGAGATTATCATGTTTGGTTAAAAGAATAAAATATTATTAGAATGTATATTTGATCAAATTGTTTGTATTATATATTTGTTTTTAACAAGTTAGAAAATATTTATATATTTTCTTTAAAAAATTTAAATTCGTAAAATTTATATATTTTTTTACAAATTTGAAAATATAAAAATGTTTAATGAAAGGGTAAAATTTTATTTTAACCCCTGAACTTCATATAAAATTTTGATTATAGACTTTTTTTTTGTAAATCTAAAATAGTTTAAGGATAAATTTGTAATTTAACCTTCGTAGAATTTTTATTATTCAAATAACGATTTTTTGAAGAAAAAAAATTAAGGTCATTTTAGTCCAAAACGTCGGTAATCCAACAATACCTAAATAAAGGAAGGTAATGACATTCCCGATAATATACCCCAAAAAATCTACTATTGATAATAAAATATTACCGGGAATGAGATTCACGGCCAACCAAACATGGGAATGTAGATTTCATTCCCATGGGAATCCTATATTCCTTAAACCAAACATCCCCTTAGGCCCCGTTTAGTTCAAGTTATATTTAATTCCTGCTGATAATCTTTTTTTCCGGGTAAACATACCCATGTTTGGATGGACTACATTCCCAAGTGCAAGGGAAGAATGATTACCAACAGTGATGTTTTTCCTACTTTCCCGGGAATGTCATACCCCAGTCTCTCTTAGGTATTTACTTATTCCTGGTTCTCTTGTCTAAAGTACCCTTCTCCCCGCTTGGTTATGACTAAAAGAAAATTGTGATGAGGAGAATGTCGAGCGTAGTTTGGAGGAAACATCCTGTCTCTTCTTCTCAGAACTTAAAAACGATCAAGGAAAAGCTTTCCATGGACATCGATCCTCTGCTCAGAGAGAACCACTCTACTGCCGATGATTGGCGGAATGCTCTCAATAATGTTGTTCTGGCCGTCCTCGTCCTCCGTACTACTTTTTACCGTGCTTTTGATACGTAGCCTGTCAGTACTAGTTATGCTACTGGTTTTGTCGTTGATAAGCGAAGGGGGATTATTTTCACTAATCGCCATGTGGTCAAACCAGGTCAACTTCCGTCAACACTTAATTTCTTTATTTAATTGTTCTTTGTGTTGGCTTTGTTTGATACTTTTGCTATTTCCTCTTTTGCTTCTCCAAATATAAGTGACAAAGTTCGTTACTTATTAGTAATTGAAAAAATATATAAATTTAATTGTTTTGAGTAATTAAATGAATGATTTTGTTGTTGCACGGATTAATGGATCACTTATGTTTGATACTTTGATTGTGTCTTAAATTTTTTAGCTATATGCATATATTTATTCTTGAGTATGATTTTATTTTTATGACTATAGTTTTTACTTTTGAGCAACTTTTTGAAGAAGAATAAAGTAGATAATAGACAAAAAGACAATAGTTGAATGGTGTTGTCTGTGTCTTTAAAATGTTGGAAACAATGTTTGTAAATTGAAATAAATGACTATGTTTTGTTTGTTTTTAGGACTTGTTGTTGCCGAAGCAATGTTTGTAAATCAAGAAGAAATTATTGTGCATCCTATATATAGAGATCCGGTGAGTAAACTCTGCTACATAGCATTTATCTTGTTTTGGTATTATTTGGTTCATTTTTATGCACTAGGATTTCTTGACGTGACTTCTGAAATGTACTGTTATTGCCTATTTGTATAATTTTTGTTGTTTTCCATGGAAGGCTTGATTTGTGAACCTATATTGATTGAAATTACTTGACTTGGTTGTATTTAGATCATCTGCTGCTTCATATGCCTTGCATAGAAGTTAATTTTTTCTTCTGTGTTCTTTCAACAACAACTATCATTTGTCCATCCTGCTAACTAAAATACACTATGTTTTTTTATTAGGTTCATGATTTTGGCTTATTTCGTTACAATCCTGATGCAATTCAATTTTTAGACTATGAGGAGATTCCACTTGCCCCAGAGGTCGCTTGTGTTGGCTTAGAAATCAGGGTTGTTGGTAATGATAGTGGAGAGAAGGTAGTTGAATCATATTATTAGTCTTTGCTATACTTTTGTTAATTTAACACTTTTTATTTTGTTAACATTATGTATTGATGTTTAGTTTTATGTTTAATTCCATTTACTAGGATTGTAAAAAATCATTTAAGTGAAAGGAGTCCTTAAGTTGGCTTTTGAGAAAAATCATGGCTTTGATGTAATGCTTCTATAGAACATAAAACCATAACTAACCGTTATTGTTATGGTTTGAATAAAAAATTGTAGGTTTCCATATTGGTTGGAACTCTTACTCGTTTGGATAGGGATGCCCCTCATTATAAAAAGTATGTGGCACTTTATTAATGGTTTTCTTGTGAATTATCTACTTTTCCAGTAGATTTAATAACATTGATCTTTTGACAAATTATCATCTCTATCAAAACCCTTAGATAACCACATGTTTTTTTCCTTTTAAACTGGTTTGTACAGTTGTTGATTTTCTTCTTATGCCTTGTAATCGTGATGATGAATGTTTATACATATTTTTATCAGTATTTCAGAGACTTGTGGTTCCAAATTTTATCATGGTAAAGCAACCTTTATTGAATTTTTCTTTCGAATGTTGTTTGTTTTATCATCTGCAACTTCTCAAATACAGTTTGTACTGAATCAGACTTAGATGATTTTAAGCTTTTCTACCAGTTGAAGACATAGTATCCCTCTATCCTTACTTTGACAGTCTTCATTTTAATGCTTTATACCTGGTGATGCATGCCATATAAGAGTTACATACGCACTGCATGTACTGCTTTTCATTTTAGGTAGTCATTTTGTGTTGCATATTTTTCTAGTTGACTTTATAATGATATGAAATCACATTTTCCTTTGACAATATTATATGTAAGCAATGTTTGATGATGTACTCAGTCTTTTACATTATAGTCATGACTTATGGTCAGTTTGACCTATTCTGTCTAGCTTTTGATTCCTAGAACTTTCTGGCTCTTTATTGATTCTTTTACATTTGTAATGTGTGGCATGGTTGTTGACATGCTTATTTGTTACAGGGATGGCTATAATGACTTCACTTTCTACATGCAAGTATGTATGTTGAAAACATTTTGATATTTTAATAAAACAAATTAAGATAAATGAATTTTAAGATTTTCCAAAAAGATTTTCTAAGTATATTCGATATAATTTCAAGTGTAAAATTAAGTTTTAATCTTAAAATTATTTCAAAATAATTTTACAAAGTATTTCAAACCGTTTCAAAGCCAAAAATTCCAGAATGTCCAAAGGGAACCGATTCCCCCTGAATGGTTTGGCTCCGAGAAAAAAAGAATGCTTGGAGGGAACCGATTCCCCCCCAATGGGGTACTGATTCCCCCTGTTTAACGGTCGAAATATTTGAATTTTACACTTAGGGAACCGATTCCCCATGAGGGGGTACCGATTCCCCCCACGCTCCAAGTTGTTTTATTAATTGATTTCACACTAAAACGGCTCTATTGACTCCACTAATCATCCCCAATGTTCAGAATCATTTGAAGGTGTATTTAAACAAGCTTAGAAGCAATTGATCAAAAACAAGAAACAAAAATCAACAAGAATCAAGAGAGAATCAAAGAGAAAGCATCAAACCTCAAGTTTGAGCATTTTCAAGCCTATTTCATTCAATATTCATTTTTGCTTTCAATAACACTTATTGTGCTCAATTGTATTATTCTTGAGTGTTCTTTCTTTGTTCTAGAATTGTGCAAACATCTTGCCTTGTGAGGATTTTCTTGTAAGTTTGCAAAATTTGTATTGTTCTCTTTGGGAGAGAGTGTTCTCAAGAATTTGGGGTACAATTCTTGAGGGATTTGTAAGGTTACTCTTTGTCCTCAAAAGAAAGACAAATTAGTGAATTTGTGGAAATTCTTAGTGTGGATAGCTAAGGTAGTGGACGTAGACTTTGGTTGAGAAAGTCAAACCACTCTAAATCGCTGTGCAAATCTTTTCAATTTTCTGCAAAATCTTCCACCGAAATTTTTAATTGCCAATTTACCCCCTTCTTGGCCGATTCCATCGATCGATTAACTCAACAATTGGTATCAGAGCCTAACTCATTTGAAGGTTTAATCGCCTCTTGAGTCGTTCGGGAAGAGTTACATCGATAATCAAAGTCATCAATGGCCTCCACTTTAAACGTCGACTCCTGTCTCGATTCGATGCCCGGTAACAAGCTTCATTTCTTCAATGGAGCTAACTATGCCTATTGGAAGAATAGAATGATGTATTTCATTCAAGCCAGTGACATGGGAGCATGGAATATTGTAGAAGATGGATATATCAAGCCTCTCACTCATCCAAGATTATGGAGTGAAGGAGAGACAAAAATGTTCCAGCTCACCTCCAAAGCCATCCATATCATATTTTGTGCTCTTGGACCATATGAATATGGAAGAGTTTCATCTTGTACAACCGCCAAATAAATATGGGATAAACTACAAGTCACTCATGAAGGCACCGACGAGGTAAAAGAATCTAAAATTAGTCTTTTAACACATAGCTATGAAAATTTCAGGATGAAACCAAATGAAGATATCAAAGCTATGACGGATAGATTCTCAACGATTGTCAATGGTCTCAAATCATACGGAGAGATCATTCCAAATGAAAAGCTTATGAGGAAGTTAGTTTACTCACTTCCAAAATCATGGCAATCCAAGAAGACGACAATCATCGAGGCTAAGAACCTAAAGTCCTTAACTCTTGAAGAGCTAATCGGTTCTCTCCTCACTCATGAAATGATGCTTGAAGATGAGGTGGATCTCGATAAGATTGATGAGACACCAAAGGAGAAGGAGAAGAAGAAAAACATTGGAATTGCTCTCTAATCCACAAAAGATGATAGTGATTCGGATAAAGATGATGATGACGAGGAAATGGCATTGTTTGCTAAACGGTTCAGAAAAATGATGAGACCTTACCGAGGAAGAACATTCAAATGAAATTAAGGTTTCAAAAATGAACCAAAAGAGAAAGACCCGATCATTTACTATGAATGCAAAAAGTCGGGGCATGTTAAATATGATTACCCAAAATTGAAGAGAAAGGGTCAATCAAAGAATAAGCACAAGGCTTATGTGGCTACATGGAGCGATGAAGAAGGTTCCGATGAAGAGGAACAAGAAGTAACAAACTTGTGCTTAATGGCATTCAGGGAAGATTCTAAGGCAGCCTCTAATTCATCTGATTTTGATGATTTATCTTATGATGAGCTATTAGAGGAATATAATGGGTTGGCTTCGGATTATGAGAAATTATTTTTAAAATATAAAAATGATATTTCAAAATTAAAAATGAAAATAAACTCATATTCAAAACCAATAACGATCTTGAAAGTAAAATCAAATATTTGCAAATCAAACTAGAAGAGTTTGAAAAGAAAATTTTGGATTTGCAAAATTTACTTTCAAAGGTCAATGATGATCATCAAAAGAAAATTGATGATCTTAAAACTTCTTTTGATAAAGTTGGAACAAAACGTTTTGAAAATGGATAAAATTCAAAATCCAACTTTGTTAGAAAAAGTTTTAAAAACTACAATCATAGAGGTCCCCGAAGAACCTCTAATGGAAAAATCATTAGAAGTATATGGGTTCCTAAAGAGCTCATTACTACTAAAGATAAGGATATCCTACACAAATGGATACCTAAGGAGACTAGGATTTTGGAAACTAATGAATATGGACCCAAAAGAATTTGGGTACCAAAAATTAGAAATTAATCTATGTTTGTAGGAAAAGGAGCATTTCTACAAGGAACGGGAAACAAATTCAAACTCATGGTACCTTGATAGTGGATGCTCAAGACACATGACCGGAGATAAAAGCCGGTTCATAGAGCTTAACGCCAAAAATGGAGGAGAAGTGACTTTTGGTGATAATTCAAAAGGTTACATCGAAGGTATAGGTACAATAGGTAATACCTCTTCCATACAAATTAGAAATGTTTTATATGTGAATGGATTAAAGCATAATCTTTTTAGCATTAGTCAAGTTTGTGATAAAGGATTCAATGTCATATTTGAAACTAATGGTTGTAAAGTCATTGACATTGCATCTAATCGGATTATGCTTGTTGGTCATAGAATAGGAAACATTTACATGGTGCATTTAGAATCTATATATATGACTAATTTATGCCTAGTTGCTAAGGATGAGCATGATAGTTGGTTATGGCATAGGAGACTAGGACATACTAGTATGAGTGTCTTGCAACGGTTAATTCAAGGAGATTTGGTTCGAGGGCTGCCTAAACTAAAATTTGATAATGATAAAATCTGTGATGCTTATGCTAAAGGAAAACAAAAGCGAGTTTCTTTTAAATCCATTAATGATGTATCAACTAGTAGAGTATTGTAATTGATCCATTTAGATCTTTTTGGGCCATCTAGAACTACTAGCTTTGGTGGAAAACAATATGCATTTGTCTAGGTAGATGACTATTCTAGATATAATTGGGTTCTATTCTTAAGTACTAAATATGAAGCATTAGAAAAATTCATCACGTATTCAAAAGTAATCCAAAACGAAAAAGGTTATTCAATAACTAGTGTTAGGAGTGATCATAGAACTGAATTTGAAAATCTTGGATTTACTGAATTTTGTAATTCTAATGGTATTAGTCATAATTTTTCAGCACCTAGAACCCCTCAACAAAATGGAGTTGTTAAAAAATCGAACTTTAGAAGAAATGGCTAGAACCATGCTTTGTGAAAACAATTTGCCAAAATATTTTTGGGCCGAAGCCACAAATACTGCTTGTTATGTTATTAATTGAGTAATGATTAGGTCTATTTTGAAGAAAACTCCATATGAACTTTTTAAAAAAAAGCCTAACATTAGTTATTTTCATCCTTTTGGATGTAAATGTTTTGTTTTAAACAACGGTAAAGACAATCTTGGTAAATATGATGCTAAAAGTGATGAAGGAATTTTTCTGGGTTATTCCTTAAGTTCTAAAGCTTATCGAGTATTTAATAAAAGAACTTTAGTTGTAGAAGAATCTATACATGTTGGTTTCGATGATAATCTCCTTTCGAGGAAGGATTCTTGTTTGAATGATGATGTAGGTATTATAAATACAAATGGCGTTAGATATGACGTTGGAGAACCATCATCAAAGGAATAAACGAAAGATGAGGAAACTCATGATCCTCTCGAGAATCCAACCATTGAAGAAAGGGAAGTATCTTATCCAATAGAGTACAACTATGTCAAGGATGGTGAAATCATAGGTGATCCATCCAAAGGGGTAACAACTCGATCTTCTCTTAG